TGAATTGCTGACATGTTTGCCGAATAAACCTTTCATAGTATTGATTGCAAGTGCTACTCATGATCACGGTCGTGCCTGATCTATCTGTTGGCATAGCTTGGTCTCGTTCGTACTGCTTCCCTTTATTTGGACGCATACTAACGAGATATCTGAGTTACGGAGTCTTTTTCGTGTGAAGTGGGGCAGCATCGCTTTTGTAACACTCGTACAGTCAGTGACTAGTGATATCTAATTCGAGTGCGTTTTCTATTCGGAATGATTACTTTAGGGTAATTTTGATATTTACTATTTTCAGCATAATCCTACGGTATGTTAGACACAGCAGGATGCCAACTTTTGAACTGATGCTTTTTCTTTTCGCCCTCCCTCTGTAAAAATGACAACTTGAGTAGTGTGAATTTTTTCCATAGACCTTGTTCGCCCTTACAAATTCGGATATATTTTATAGGAAACATACGCAATAATATTCTCTCTAGTACTCAGTTGATAGAAAATCACATTTTTTTTTAAATTTTTTAATCTCAAGGAAAGGTTATTCTCAAGTCTGAACAGTTGCTACTGCTGCAGTTTTTTAAGACTCGACAATGTCTAGTCAAATCGCGTAGTGTCTGTTCGTTTATACATACCCTTCATGACGTTTACGGTATAGATCACATCCATTGCAACATTGTAGTAGCACTATATGCTACCTTAGCGACATACAGGAATGTGTGATACTCTTTCCACAGAAGGCATCTAGCTTGTAACCTGGAAACCCTAAACGCAAATACAACGGCAGATAAGGCTGAAATTTATATGGTGATTCGAATTTTTTTTCTAAAACGTAAGCAGACCCTTCCTTTGAGTATGAAATTAGAAAAAAAGACGTGATATTCTATCAAAGAAGTGTAAGATAGCATTTATTGTTTGTTTTTAATTTAAAAAAATACTTAAATTTTTAAGGGTATCAAATATCTGAAGAAAAATCTCAATAATCAAGTAATTAGTAGGGTTTTTGAGGAAGCCGAAAGGACATCAGTTCAGTAGCCGGAATCCTGATGTGTGTTAATTTTTTTAGACTTTTGTTCCGATAGAAAATCAATATTACAAATCTACTAACGTAACCATTTCTAGTCTAAAACGCATTTGGAATTTTTACTTAATATCGCATGAGATCGGTCACTCTGTACGCTCATGCTCTTGTTCGGTCGTGTTGACTTTGGCTCTCAACTTGAACTTGGTGGGTTTCAGGAATGTACTTAAACTTCGGAACTCAATCCCATTATGAAGAGGCCCGTTTTTAAGTCGCCAGATGCTTGCGAAAAATGACTTACTGGTTTGAAAGACTTTTCTTATCGTGTTAATGCGCTGTATTGTGGCTTATTCTGGTAGACAAACAATTTATCTAAACGTGCTATTGAATTTTTTTCAGTAGTAAAGTTTACTAACTGGACGTTGAATTATTGCTCTGCGTTAATAGGCCTTCACCGAGTGTGAGC